ATATGTCTCAGTTATATAAGTGCACCTGATCAACAATGAGTTTGTTGACTTGAAGTTAACTAACTCTCACAATGTTGTGTTTTCTCCACAGATGAGTCAAATTGGGAATGCAGTTAGAGATCCACTGCATGAAGGACATTCCCGACCACACGCTTTCTGGCCAAGAAACTTTTTAGAACACAGATTTGTGGTAAGAAAGTAGTTTACCACCACTTAGCTGGCTCCACTAGCTCACTAGTTCTTCAGTCTGTGTTTCTTTACCCTTTGCCATCCACTGCCTTTGGAGCAAACTATCTCAATGACACAATTCTTCATTTCAGTCAATAGTTTCAATTCTTGTTTGTGATCAACTACCTGGATGAATTTATAACGGCACAACATATCTTCTGAGACATTTGTTTTTTTTCCCTCGTCTTGTTAAAGGGGACTCATCCGGTCTGGGGAGACGAACCCATGGCTGAATACTGTGACATGGAGTGGTTTATGGACCTGCTGTCACAGATGCTGATGATTAATCAGTATGAAAGAATTACCCCCAGCGGAATTCTACAGCATCCATTCCTCACCATGAGCCACCTTCAGGGTTCATCCAGCCACTAGTAAGTGTCTGCTTAGATGGTCTGTGTAAGTCTGTGCTGATAGATAAAATATAAGAGATATAAGGAGATTAAGGTGTTTGGCTCAGCAGTTTCATTTATCTTCCAGTGCAAGATCGTGTAAGGATCTGATGGACATGTGCCAGGATCAGAGCTCTGATGATGGACATGGAGACCAGGTGATCCTGCAAATGTCCCTGAAAGAGGACTCCTCCAGCAGCACTGCCGGCCCAGCCGAGGAGGGCAGCCCCGCTGGGAAGAGAGATGAGAAGCATTCCTTCTCGCAGACCACCACCGTCACCAGGGCGAAAAAAATAAAAATAAATGCAGGGTGTGGCAACAGGTGGGTGTTTAAATATCTCCCTGTCTTGATCATTTGATATTGCACTAGAACATTTTGATGAATATTCTTTTTATTTTGCTCAGAGTTCAATGGGAAGAATGATAAAACTCTCATTAACTATGGAGCTGTAGTCAAGTGCATTTTTAAAAATGTCAAACCACTGCTTTAAGATCAAGAGCTAACCTGTTTTCTTATCCACATCGCAGACCAGACGACTCCAATGCGAAGATCAGGAGTGAACGACTGGCAGCCACTGGAAAAGGCACAAGTGGCCAAACGGGCCCACTAAAGTGCCAGAGAAAGAGGAAGAGGCTTGATCCCACATCTGATGGCAACCCCTCAACAAAGAAGCGTAACATGAGCCTCAAAAAGGAAAGAGGCAATAAGTCAGAGGCTGCCCCCTCCAACTCAGCCCAGGTTCATTTCCTCAGGAAAAGGAAGAGGGACGAAGAGGAGGTGCCAGTGTTGGACAAAACCTGTCCAGGGAAGAGAAAAAGGGTCGAACTTGGCTGTAGAGAACTCAAGACTGGAGTGAGGAGACTGAAAAAAACTTAATTTGTGTTTTATTGATGTATTCTCTTTATTGATGTATTAATTTTGAAACGTTGCCTTATTAACGTTAACAGTTTGATAGTGAATTAAAACATATGACATAAAGAATTTGTCTGAAAAGTCATGATTATACTTGTAATTCTAAAGGGAACACAAAACTCTTTCGAGGTCTGCTGATAGATTTACCTTCGCGTTTGGTTCCCTTTTATCTCCACTACTGCTGGGATAGAGTTATGAGAATAAACTGCAAATACTTCCAAACGTTTCTACAACACTCATATTTCCTTTAATAAAGCAGAAAATCCCTACATGAAAACACAGCCTATTCAGTAGAAAGCTTAAGACAAAAGATGCAACTGTCTTTTTAAAAACTAAGAAACAAGCAAATATACAGAACATTAAAGGGGCTAATGCATTTGTGACATAAAAATAAAAAATGACCTTCAACAGTCCTTTCCCCAGTTGGAGACATACAGGTGACTGGAGTCTATCTACAAAGCCATTATTACATTGAAGGGACTTAAATCTCAGCATGCTATTAAGCACCTTGTTAATTCCAGATAATCATAAGAAATCACTCCAGACCTTATTCCTCCAAATAATCGAACAAAACCATTGAACAAATCTACGCAGATGTATGGTTTCATTATTAAAGTAGTGTTTTTAATCAAGTTTAAAAAAAAAAAAGATTGCAGGAAGCCCAGGTGATCCTCCTCCTTTGACTCTACAACTTTAACTGGGGTTGCTGGACTTCTTACTTCTTCATGATTCACTGACCAGCTCCATTGGTCAAGTGCAGTTCTTGACGTTTTAAAGTATTTTTCTATTATTTTACAAAAACCCACAAACAAATATTTCATTGAAGTATTTTACTGCAATCATTTTGGAAACACATCAGCCAAGTTTAATTCAGTTGTCCACAGGCTCAGGTCACCAGCAAAAAACATTTTGTACTGTGTCTTTGAATTCTCACCTCGTTCAACCTCGTCTCTGCCGATCAGTCGAACCGCAGAGCGATTAGAACCTGCAGACGACTGAAAGCATAAGTTGAGTATGCACATGAAACATCGGGCTGAAGATTTCTACACTGACCAAATCAGATTCCATGGTTTTAAGTCAGTCTTATCTAGTCATCACAAGGTCAGTCTACAGGGATCATGAGGTTTACTACATCCAACTAAGATCCAATTAACCAGAGCAGCTCCCTCATACCCAGATGAGATCCAGACCCAGTTCAACCAGCTGGTTTCAGTTTTAAATTCATTTCTCCAATTCATGCAATTTCCAATTTTACTTTAGGTTTGAGCTACACTTCACAGATGTTTACAATGTGAGTGAATATCCCCAACTACATACATTTTATTTTAATTAAGTCAAACAAAGACAAGTTAGCAAAAGGCACACTACAACCAGTTCAGTCTTAACAGAAACAAAAGTTTATCCAACAGCGACAGCAACACAACCACCTACTGATATGACATCTAAATGGCATCTGGGACCGAGGTGGTAGAAATATTTTCATACTCACAATGTTTGGGCAACATCTTCTGCAACCAACTGCCCAAGATCCCATTAGATATTTAAAGTGAGAACAGCTTCTCCTGAGATAATGGCAGAAACAAGCAATTTTATCTCCTGGAACAAGTCAGATCAGAAATCATGACAAATTTCCACAACTGGATCAGCGACCTGATTCACATTCATCACACCTGAACGTTTGCAACCGTTTTGATCTCAACATGCTACTCACCAACAAGACTGGAAATGTATTCAGCAGAGATCATGTCTGAAGACAAGAGCGGGGTGTTAGTAATGCATTAAAAACCATTAGGACTAGAGGAAAAGAGCAAAAGACAATAGATCTTCTTCACTGTTAAATCTGCTGAGCTATGGGATCATCATTGTGTCAAACTTCATTAACAGATAACACTTCAGTCTCACTCACCTCTGTCTTCTGCAGCAACGTGAGATCATCTGCAAGACAAAGACCAGAAGTTCAGAGAAAACACAAAACTGCAAACGTGCGTTTAAGTAAATCAGCACTGCATCAGAAAAAGTACTCTTTCACTCTTTATCAGAGAGAGTCCCTTGTTTTAAACAAAAATCATCATTGACAGTTTGTTTAAAAGCCAATATGTCAAATCAAACTGTATCATTACCTGTTTGAAAGTTGCCAAACAGTCGATTCAGGCAAACGTGATCACATCTGCAGAAAGAAGACATATGTGAGCCATCAAAAAGACTTACAAGGCTCTCACTCGAGAGGCTGGCTGAGGCAGAGCCGGCCCAAGGCATAAGCAAACTAAGCACCTGCTTAGGGCCCCGCGGCCATTAGGGCGCCCCCGAGAGCAATTGACAAAAAAAAATTTATTTTTTACTTTTTGCATGTATGAGTGATGATTTCTATATGATCAAAGATATATTATTGTACAAAAACATAACTTTATGTCAACAGAGTGCTGCGGCCTAGTGATTCTTACTGCCTATTTAAATGTCGAAGCTCCGCTGCACCGGTAATGTGTGCCTCCTGCCGTGCAGTGCGCACTGTGCATCCAAAGCGCAGGTGAAGGCAAAACAATGTCGCAAAAAAGGACATATCCTTCAGGGGCAGAGAAGTAGTAGTAGAAGTATTTGCTTGATATTTTATTTAATTCTGTCTGTTTTTGCACAATTGACTTATTGAGTTTTTTTTATATATATCTAAGTGAGTTCATATGTTGTTGCACTTTATTGTTGTTCTTGCACTACACACATTGCTGTTGCAGTTTTTTGAAATCAAAAATAATAAACCAGATGACACTTTTACAGTAAATATGTGTAAATCAACCCCAGGTGGCGCTGTTGTGGCCGAATTTTGCGATTAAAAACCATATGTGGCACCCTGGGCATCATTCATTCATTGGTATTATTTGTATTATTGTTGCATTGGCATTGTTTATGTTATTACCTGGGCCACCCCTTTAAATGTGTAAAGACATGTCAGGCTGACAATAGGTTAATGTAAACAACACTGCCAGAGCCGCAATGAATTTATAGTAGGTGTGTAAATGATCAACAACAATATTATTGGCAGAAATAGAGGGCCCCAAAATCCATTTTGCTTAGGGACCCATGGAGGCTTGGGCCGGCTCTGGATGACACCACAGGAGCAGTATGCAGGTTTTATTACGTGTATAGAAGGAGTCACCATTTACTCAAATTGTATTGGATTTGTTTTCCCCAGAAACTTCTAAAGTGGTGAGTGGACTCAAACACCTCACCCACCCCTCCATGTGCACAGTGGTGAGTAGATAATGGGTGCATTTTAATTTCTGGGTGAATTATCCCTTTAAATAGTCAAATAAAAACGGCCACCCTGGACCCCTCAGCAGTATCATAGGTTTTGGGGGTAAGTGTTCTGTGGGGAGGTGAAGAACTCTACTGCGCCCCTGCATGTGTATCCGCCCACAGGAGGTTATGAGTCTGGGTTTAGTGTATTTACCTGACACCTCCCAGAATCCACCTCTCCACCGCGTCTTTCACGCACGGTCTATGGATCCACGCACGGTCTATGGATCCACGCCGTATTTTTCTCCACTCTTTCCCGCACGTCACACTCCCCCCCCTGCCCCTTAGCAACAGAGGCAACATGGCGGCGTCCAGTAACGCGGAGCATTCTCCAGAGATATCGACGCCGTTGAAGATTCCGAAAACCGAGGTGCCATCCCCCGAGTCGGAGGATCTGAGTGACAGTAATCAGTACCACTCCAACCCCCCGACGCCGAACCGCTTCTCGCCTCTGAACGTGGGCTCGGGGGCCGCGGGCCGGACGGCGGCCTCATCCTCCAACAGCTTCACCGCTTGCCGCGGGATGTCGTGGACCCCGTCCGAGACGAACGCCCTCATCGCGGTGTGGGGCAACGAGCGGCTGACGGAGGCGCGGATGCAGCAGCTGGAGGTGGCGGGCACCGTGTTCTCCGGCAAGGCCCCCGGTCCTGCCATGTACGAGCGGGTGTCCAGAGCCCTGTCGGAGCTGGGATACGAGAGGACCCCCTCCCAGTGCAGGGAGAGGATGAAGGTAAATGAGGTTATGAGGACACGACAATGGCTGGAGGGGCTGCATGCTCACCCCGCTGCACCTGGACCTGTAGCTCTGTAGCTGCAGGGGCTAACAGGGGCTGTCATGCAGGTTAGAGACAAACAGGACTTGTTCACTTCAATACACCCACTCACACGTTGTCACCCCCAGCAGCTGATCAGACATCAGACATACATGTGCAGCTCAGACACTGACAGCTCTCTATGCAGAACTCTAGCCTCCTAATAAGCTCCCACTCTCAGTAAATTGTAAATGTGTTGGTTCATCCACTTTATAGAATGTTTTCAGTTCCTATGACACCATAGCGACTCTAATTTGCTATACATACATTGATTGTATTTTATTTTATGTAGCTGAGATGTTTCCATATGCCGATCACTAAGTGGACATCAGCAGTGGGTTTATCAATCAAAAAGTTTTATTTAATCACGTGGCTCCTACCTCAGAAAGAGTTGGCGGTGTCAGTACGGAATCAAACCTTCGAATCTAAAGTTTTCCTCATTCAAGAATTCATCTGCTCACACACCTTTCTGCATGTAACAGACAGATTAGGTATTAAACATTTCTGTAGCTGTCATTGTCAGAAAGCGCAGGCATAAGCTGTTTTCTGACATGCACTGAACTCAGCAGGTCCTCTGTTTTTTCTCTGGAAGGCTCCGCAGATTTTCTCCGCCTGGCCCCCAGGTATAAAAAAATCCAGGAGAAGTTGATGTGGGAATAAAGCAGGGGATCCCCACTAGATTAGCTGTGAAAGAGTGGGGGGGTTGATGATGCTTCTAACACGCGACAGAAGCAAAACTGAAAAAGCAATAATATATCTATCACCATCTATCTGTCTATATATATATAATATATATAGGTAGAAGCTGTCCTGAGAGTTTGTGATGATAAGAGGACACTGAATTCATCTTAAAGAAAATCACATGATCTCTGCAGCGGAGTTGTTACTTCACTTCCTGCCTCTGTCCACTGCACCTGGCTGCTCCACCTGAATAATGCAGGATTTGTTGCTGTTGTGAACACGCATGTGCAGAGAGCCCGCTGTGTTGTGCATGTGTGAAAGACAAACTTGGGTAAACTCTGTAGTCAATTCTCTGGATTTTACTCGCAGGTCATGTCTGAAAATGGCTAGACTGTGAGTGCTCTATATTCATGTGACATTTCATGGATTTGACACCATTATGTTGGATTCCTGTATTCATCCATCCATCCATCCATACAGCTTGAGCCAATTCCAGTTTACTTTGGGGTAGAGGTACGGCACACCATGTGCAGGCCGTCTCTTATCAGTCTATACAAACCCAAAATGATGCTCTTCAAAATTTGAATTCCACCACAGAGTATGAAAAACTAGAATTATTAAATAATAAGTACATACTGTAGATCTGACTATATGATCAAATTACACATATAGACATTTAGGAATGTTACATTCAGACATAACATCTCAAGAGTGTGTTTGCCTCTTGTTCTCAGTTTGTGCAGACACTAAGGAGGCTGTTTTCACATTTACCTGCTCATTAGCTCTGGATTGTCTAATGATGGAGAGGAGACAGACTTGCTAACTAACTGTTTAAGTTGTCAAATATATACCAGATAGATAAAAAAAACTATAGAGATGATCATAGACTTCAAGGAAAGGTGAGCATTAAACAGGATTTTTTTTTGTACTCTCTCTATCCCTGACCACTATAGAAACACATCATCAGACAAAATAGTTGAAATGTAGTTATTGGCGGCTCCTTCCCCTCGCTCTCCAGAATTAGTGGTAAGGGTTGATTCTCACCCAGCTGCTCCTCTCTTTGAAGAAATGTCCTTTGGGAGACGGTTCAGAAATCTCTCTTTCATATCTAAGCACTTTAAACCACATTCTCTGAGGCTATTCTCTCTTGAAGTAGCAATTTAAGCTACTTTTTTTTAGTTAATCATTTATTTTGTGATTCATTCTGCTGTACTGTTTAATATCTTTTGGTTATTTGAACTCTGAATTGTAAACCTCAGACTCAGTTATATTGTTTTGTGCTTTTTTTCCTTGGGTATTTAAATATGTTCTCATCCGTCTCATTTAAAATTTTTAGCATGTGTTGAATGAGGTCGTCAAGTCGTTCCTTGTAATCATTATTGAAATAGCAGTAAACATATTTGTTATTATTATCCTTACAAGCAAAGTATTTAAACGTAACTGTTGATGATGTCTTTTCATTACACGTGATAAAATGTAATTACTTTGTTGTCGCAGTGTTTCAGACTTCTCAACAAAAGGAAACTATAAACTGTAATGGGTCAGCCTTTGCCAATTGAAGCTAATTACGAACAGCACTGTCAGCATTTTAAAATGACAGAATTGCAAAAAAGAATTGCTCAGCACATGCAGGACATTTTCAGATTTGTTGATTTCACCTCAGATCGCATTGTAGCCTGCAGCCAGACAGTCATTTGCTATTAAACATGAAAACTCCTTCGACTTGGCAGTAAACGTGTAAATGCCCCAGTCTGAGTCACCACTGTGTAGAACCGTCCCAATGAAACAACCGAGTAATAATCTTTCTGTTTACACTCCTTATGAGCAGCCTGAAGTCACTGACTTATCCTCCCATCACAAACAGACACTCCGCCGCTGCTACAGCCGTGTGAAGGAACATGGCATCGGTAAAAGGAAGAGCAGCTACACAATTGAGCAGCTGGAGAAAGTGTTTGGTCAGGGAGGCTGGGACTCCCAGAGCTGTGCTCCGGTGCTGATCAACAGCAGTGGCCTCTATCAGGAGATGGAGTCTGATGGCAGCACCCTGGAAGACTTCTCCCAGGAGGACTGGTGCAACCAGGTGCTGGACTCAGCTTTCCAGGAGGGAGACATGGAGACTGGTGAGTTTATCGTCGGGCACCGGTCAGATAGCTGTTATCGACTCAAGGCTGGTGCGTTTAAACTAAGATTTGTACTTGTTGTGTTCCCCTTCAGAAGAAATCCAGGTGCCTAAAAACAGAGCTCTGCAGATTCAAGCCGAGCTGTCAGAGCAAACCCAGTAAGTCACCAAGAACAAAGCCTGACTTCACTGTGCCTCTGTAAATGGAGCATGTTTGATATGAAGCTTTGTGTTGAGTTCACTTCATCATACACGTTACACTGTACCTTGTAGCTAGATTGAACATTTATCTGAATGGGATGTTGATGCTGTTTTGTCTTTCTCACACTGATAGAGATGAACCGATCAGGGAAAGGTGACCATGGCCTTAGTCCATAAATGTACAGTGTAAAAGTACAGTAACAAAAATTCTGTTAGCTGTAAAATTCTGTTTTATTATTCTCAAATGTGTGTGCACACAGTCTCTTCTTGATAGTTCCCTGAGGAGTCGCTAAAGCCTGAGAATTCAAGTCTGGGCTTAAAGGAATCTCCATGTCACTAGTTGTTCTCTTGATCATATACTGAGAGTATTTGATATTATTTTTACATTAGTTGGGATCATCTGTAGAGATGTTGGGATTTATCAAAGCTGAGTTCTTACCATCAGTAGCTTCTCAGTCCAGGCTAGTACGTCTGCTACTTGTACGACACTTTGTCACATGAAAAATATTTATTACTTCATTTTGGTTCTCTGCAGAAAAAGGGGCATGATGCAGACTGTGATGCGCATCCTTGAGTCAGTGGAGCTGAAATGGGAGCACTTCCAAACGTGGACTGAGTTCTCAAGGCTGCACCTCTCCAACAAACTGGCCATCTTTGGCGTGGGCTACAACACGCGCTGGCGTGAGGATGTGCGCTACCACTATGCTGAAATCAGCTCGCAAGTGCCGCTGGGCAAGAGGCTTCGCGAATACTTCAACCCGGAAAAGCCTGAGGGCCGTATCATCATGACCAAAGTTCAAAAGATGAACTGGAAGAATGTCTACTATAAGTTTCTGGACATCACCATCAGCGAGGCGCGCTGCCTGGAGCTGCACATGGAGGTGGACTGGATCCCTGTGTCCCAGTCCAGGGCAGCAGGCGGCAGCAAATGCACATGCCACTACCTCCTTCCTGGGGACATCCCTAAGTCATACGGACTCTACGCCATCGGCTATGAGGCAGTGTCTTCCTCCGGCGACACCGGTCAGACCTCTCCCCAGGGTGCCAGCGAAGACCATAGCTTACCTCAGTGCGATTCAGAAAACTGGGCTCCGAGTCAGGCTGATGGAGAAGGAGCAGGGCAGGGTGACAGGACTGGGGCTAAAGTCACTTACTGCTACTTGGGCATAGCTGAGGATAGGACCATACAGCAGTGTCTCTTCCAGCACTTTCAGGGTTCTGGCAAACACCACGTCCACGGTGAACCCTCTGCCATGACGCATTTCCTGCAGGAGAACTGCCGCGGCGGTGTCACATGTTGGGATGCTGCCGAGGGAGGCGACGACTCGTCTCAGCGTTTTTTTATTTACATAAAATTCATTGAGGTGGAGCTGGACTTCCTCTCAGCAGGGTCCCTGGTGGAGTGCCTCGAAACCGCTGTGGGTTATCCCTTGAAATACAACAACAGAGAATCATCATAACTACACACCACAACAGCGTTTATGACTTGTACTCACTGAATATTTATTTAACAAGTATTACGGCCAGCAAAGAAACATGAAAGGTGACCAACTCTGTTACACAGCATGGATGTGTGCAGGATTCTGGCATATTTTTGCAGTTTCTTTTAAACTGACTTTTCGTATTAATTCTAAAAAGAATGACACAATATGTCAGATATATTGTGTAGAAACACGGGAACAGTAGGTTAACTATTGAAGTATGTACTTATTATTTTTTTGCTTACGTGCACTACAAATGTTTCTGCTGCTTGTTGAGTGTCAATGAACATTGCTTCATCAGGGAGCGGGGGGTTGGCAAGGTGACTAGTGCAGTATGCATCTGTCTACCTCAGTAGGATGTAGCAAACGAGGCAGCAAGGGGACCATAGCGTGGATATATTCTTCAACTGCCTTTACTTTGACTGTTGAAATCTGGACCTGAATTCACAAAGCATCTAAGAATAATGGTTTATTTACGTATTATGTTTTTTTGCAAGTGTAACTGGGTTGCAGCTGGAAGATGCTTCTATGCAAATTAGGGACAAAAGGTAACAAAATGTATTGGCCAGTGTGAATATGTTCAAAGATGAGATTTAAATCACAGCGTCTTAACCACTTCCTGCTGTTTGAATGTCAGCTGGCCTCATTGGCCCCCTGCACTTCATTTAATCCTGTTTCCTGCCCTCAACCACATGTAAAAAAACAAGTCACGGCAGAATGACCACATTTAAGCTGTCTATTTTTATGTGTCTTACCAACGCTGTTGCATGATCTTCCAATGATCTAATGCACATTCAGATACTTGAATATGTTTGTAGTTTGCAGAGTTTTGCTCCAGCACAAGCAAAATCTGTTGTACACACTGACTTTGCTTAATATGATCAAACACTGCCTCATCAGAAAGGACATCATTAATCGCTTCTCATGGTTGTGGTTTTAGCCGATATCAGAGATCACTCATAACACACTGGATCAAAAATATACCATTAGCCAATATGTATTGGGAGCCATTACTCTGGAGCATCTCTAGCTGCACTCATGGATTTGCCTGTCAGTATAAAGCTCGGTTACGAAAGTTACCAGCACCTCTCAGATACTGGTGTTTCAAATACACCATTGTTACAGAAAATACAGAATGTGCAGGTGTTTTGTGATAATCTGCTTGTGTGCAGGTGTGAATCAACTCATGACTTCAGGTCAGGTTCAGACTATAAGCTGCAGAGGTTAACTCACATTTAACCAATAATCAAACTGAGTTCTTTATGAACATGATTCCAGAGATTATGTGCAATGTGCCAGGAGAGACTGTGGAGAAGAATCAAACGATGGAGAAGTCCACGATGAATCGATGTATATAAAATCTACCTTATATATCTAAAATATATATATTTAAGATTATCAATGTTCTTGAGCATTCCGGCTTTTGCAAACTTGTTCATTTGTTTGGGTATACAGCATATTAAGATGAATATAATATTTTCTAATTTATTGGTTGACACAATGTCTTGTATGTGATTGTTTTGAAGTCACCGTCTTGTATGTTTACATGTTTAAAAAACAATAAATGGGGCACTCACTGATATTTGCCACACAGTGTGAATTTGGTTGTGTACAGTTGTTTTTCTTCCGTGGTACATTGGAGTAACACTGTATCCAGATGTTTTATGGCTCATGTGCCTGTAGATAATCCAAAATAGTTACAGATGAATTGTCATGTTATATCCTCAAAAATCAATCAAACATTCAGCAACATAGTATTTGTATAGCCCTTATTCACAAACAATTTGTCTCATAGGGCTTAACAAGGTGTGACATCATCCTTTGTCCTTAGTTAGCTACCAAAGAAAACCCTATTACTGGGGGGGGCAGAAACCCCAGAGAGAGCCACATGTGCGGGATCCCTCTCCCAGGATGGACAGAAGGACAATAGATGTTGCAGATGACAGATGTAGCTGAACACAATTACAATATTTAAAACATTGGTTAGAAGAACTAATGGAAAAATATGTTGATGTTTAAAGTATTTATACATAATAATACAGACATAATAATGTAGTAGGCGTATTGTATATCAAGAAGTGTTGTATTCATAGTCCATGATCAGCTGCCCCCAAGAACCACCACCACCACCATCCACGATCAGGACCCACCATCACGATCCACGATCAGCTGTAATATGATGCACAAAAAATCCGTCAGGATAAAAGGTGGGAAACTGTCCAATAGGCCTTTGTCACAGCAGACACTTTCACATGAGACAGTAGAAAACCACTTGTCCAAATAATAACATGAATGTTTTAGCTGCTGCAGTTTCAGTGTCCTGGGATTGTTCAGCCCCCTGTCTCTTGGTCATGTCTTATGTGGAAACTTGCGGTTGTGACATCAAAATGTCTCTTGTGAAAAAGCCCTATTCTTTGATTTTTGACCAGATACCTGCTATAAATGTAAACATCCCCATCAGCCTCAACTGTACTTTGCGTTAAGTAATTAGTAATTCACAAATGTTAGCATGCCAACCATCATCAGCATTAAGCCGTACATTACAGTAGCTGAGTGTGGATTGATTTGCATGGAGAGGATGTTGTTCACCCATGTGGCCAGGAGGTGGCCCTAGATAGCCGTTGCAGAAAATCCCTACATGTGCAGTTAACAGTTGACTGTAACTTACTGTCACAGGGAAATGAAATCTCTACCCCAAAGCAATATGAAAGAAATTAACATGCAATAAAAGCTGACAACAAATGGTTTGAATGGGTCATCTGACACTGTGCATGTGTGTGAAGGACACATGGAGACCACCACTGACCTTTTGGAAATGAGCCTTTAGAGCTGGAGCAGATATCAGGATACTTCTTCACTGACCTCATCCAAAAGTATTTAACTTCGAAAATATTTGACGTTATTTCAAGCCAACAGAATCAGTTATTTTTAGATTGAACGGTTCATACACGATGCCACTACAACAAACACAGCGACAAGTACTGTGTTCTTTGTTAGTTAATAATTAATGTTACATTTTTTCCATTCACTGTTATATTTACGTTGTAGGTGCAAAATGACTCTGAGTCAGTGAAGTACATTACATTTACATAGCTTGAATAAATATTTCATTGTGCTCTGCTCTTTGCTTTGTACTGTGTAATAGGCTTTCATGTACAACATGCATGAAACAACAGGATTATTCTTTGTCAAATATGCATTTTAATCACCTACATCAGTGTTTTGTCATCAAATAGTTTGCAGAAAATATCCAAGTAAAACTGAAAATGGTCTTTATCATTTATTTTTTTGCAGTGTGGAGGTGAGGCCTTTAAAAAATGAATCACTTCACCGTCACAAGCTGTCAACATGTTCTACTATAAATCCTGATTTGTCCTTTGCCCTGCACCCTCTCTTCTCTCTCTCTCTCTCTCTCTCTCTGTGTGTGTGGGGGGTGGGGGGGTGGACATTATGTAAAGACAGACAGAGGACAGGTCTTTGATCAGTAAGCAGGTGCCCTACCACATCTACAGTATCTAGGGCAGTGATGACAAGTGCTATAAGCCAATGAGACTTGTACACAGGTTTGTGTAGATTTCGCTCTGCATTGTATAGTCTGAGATAATCTGATCACGGAAACAACGCATTCTCACATTGCATTTGCATTCTGCTTTTTTCATCTGTTTCCTTCTTTTATTTGATCGGAGCAGTAAAACCACATCCACACTGTTCTTGTGTGTGATTGAGGGCAGTGACTTATACTGGAAATAATCCAGCAAACAAGCTCCAAACATGTGTAATAAAGTGTTGACTCCCTTTTGTAAATATGAAACTATTTATGACAGATGGGATCATAATGAATCACCATGCTCACAATGTGCCATATTTGGAGATGGAGAAATATTTGTGTATGTGGAAATATTTGTGTACATAGTAAATAATAGATCTTCTGTACTATACACCTGGTATCATATTACATCTGGAGTAATGTGCTGGTATTTGTATTATGATGAAGCAGTCTCACTGTCAGTCATTCATTCCTTACACTATAACCACATGTGGATGTGACATGTTTTTGTGTGCTCCACTTTATTGCATTAATTTTGTTTTTTAAATCTATTTTATTTATCACTGATAAATTCAGTTATTATATTTATTTTTTAATTTTCTATTTTTCAGTAGATATGTTATTTAAGTTTTGATGGGTGGGGATATTGGAGGCATGGGTTGATCAGCAGAGGCATTTATCTTAAAGAGGGGAATACACATATGTCATGTATATAGTGTTGCCACTTGGCAATTTCCTGGTCAATGTTTCATTTGAGAAAAAAGAAATGTCACTAAAAAAAGAAAAATGATTTGATAAATTGTTGTTTGTCCTCCAGGTGTCAGGTTTGCTCACCATTTGACCAGACGTCATTTAGTTGTTTAGGATTAGAATCCAATATTAGCCTCCATGCCCTGCTCACATTCATGTTTGCAGCAATAATAAAACGAGCCCTGCTTTGACAGCTCTTCTCGTCTGAATTCTGTAGAATTCAGCTGGAGGGTGAAACACAACAAAATCCCATCCCCGGGGGAATCGGACCCTGCTTCTTTGGATTTAATCAAAGGAATAACCCCTGTTCACCTCTCATAATTGAGCAGTCCTCCTGCATTAGCCTCACCGTTGTTGCTGAGGCTACTGGGCAACCTTAGAAAATGAAATAAAGGGGTCTGGTCACCGCGGAGAGCACAGGTCACTCCATATTTTTACATCAGAGGGTGAGCTCACCTTGGGAATTCACGTCAAGCTGAGTCCAGCCTGTTCCAGTGCTTTCAGACCCACACCTTTTCACACATGACGGAGCAGGAGCTGCAGATTTGCAGGGGGAGTGTGGGGAAAAGGACGGAGCTTTGAAAATGGGCTGAATGTTGGAAAAAAGCTTGAGCCATGGGGTATTTGAAATGGGAAAGTTACACATTAGTATGTCTGGCTGCTTGTATCGGGTCATTAATGAGACTTAAAGCTTAAAGACTCGAGGAAGTGATTTTATAATAAATCATTTTGTTTTTCTGTGGTTGGCTGAGACATTCACTCGTCCACCTTTTGCACTGATTCTGTGTTTTATTTATTTATTCATGATTTTGTTATAGAAATTCATTAGAAACCTTTTAGTCATTCGGTGGAACTTGTCTTGTTTTAGTGAGAATCTGCCTTTCGACATGTGTTGGTTGTGTGTGAATAAATTCAATTCAGTTTTATTCCAATATATATAAGACCTTACAAGATTACTGAGAAACCCAACAGTTCCACACAATGAGCAAATCCAAAGACTGTGGATTGGAAAAAAAATACTTTAAAATGGCCAAACTCAATGAGGGCGGCCATCTGCCTCTACAAGTTGGGGTTAGTGGGGATAAAATAGAGGGAGAGAGGGGGAGAGAGAGAGAGAGGTTGCATTTATATGTAAACATTTTTTAGAACATAGGATAAGATGGTGAACATCATTGAGTCATTCAGCCTTTTAATGACAAGAACCCCTCCGCTGAGGCAGGCCCACCACATGCTGATCAGACCTGGGTGCACGTCCTTAACATGTTGGAGCCCGTGGGGTCTTTGCTCCTGATCCAGAACCTTTGGCTGTATACGTTCTGATTTTTCATATTGAGGAGATTCTTTCGAAACCGTGTTGTTTTTTCTTCAGTTCACAGTTATTGTGTGACACGTCTTTTGTTGGTGAGAATCTGCCTTTTGGTGTGTTTTGACTTCAGAGAGGATTCTGACAATAAAGTGGAATCAAAGCAAATCAAACGTATTCATAAGTACATCAGAGATCCGTACGTCTGATTGGGGTAGGTGGATACAGTATATTAGTGTCATTGAACCTGGGTATTTCGATTAAAGTTTTTTTGGTTTTCTTAGAACGTCATGTGAAGTAAATAAGTCAATCAATGCTTTTAAACTATGATTGTCTGAACTCAAATGTACCAACATATACATAGCTTCCTTTATCTATATACATTTCTTGGTTTTTTCCAATTTAATTGTACTACTTTGTTCTTATTTTAAGGTACCGTACAAGTGTTCTATTTGATTTGTAAAACATGAGAGCAACAATGAGTAAGGTCACAGATTTAAAGAATAAACTTTGAATGACTCTAAATAAAGATATGTCAAATAAAGGAGGATGTTCTTCGGGGGAAAGTAGGAATGAGTTTGTTCTCTCACTTTTTTTGCACCTGCGAATCAGCGAACAGGTGCAACTCCGGTATTTTCAAATGAAACCCCGGATGTCTGCCTTTCAAAATAAAGCAACTCAGTCTTTCTTAGCGAATCTGCACGTTAGAGGTTTTTATTTTTTTGAGCCAATAACCGGAAGTTATCGACGATAGTGAGTTAAATGACACTGCTTTCTCTCTCTCTTTCTCTCTCTCTCTCTCTCCATGTCTCTCTCTCTACCTCTCCATGTCTCTCTCTATCTCTCCCCTCTATCTCTCCCTCTCTCTCCTCTCTCTCCTCTGTCTCTACCTCTCTCTCCTCTCTCTCTCTCCTCTGTCTCTCTCTTTCTTTCTCTCTCTCCTTTCTCTCTCTCTCCCCCCTCTCTCTCTCTCCTCTCTCTCTKCCTCTCTCTCCCCCCTCTCTCTCTCTCCTTTCTCTCTCTCTCTCGCCTCAGTCTCTCTCTCTCTCCTCTGTCTCTCTGTCTCTCCCTCATCCCCTCTCTCTCTCTCTCTCTCTCTCTCAGGAGGGGACTCGGTATGACCGCTCAGAGTTGTCGGTGAGCAGGAGGCGCACATGCCGCTGGTGTGAACAGGAGGAGCAGAGGAGTCACGGAGGGTCCTCGGAGTCGGAGGCGGTGAACCAGTGAGAACTCAACCGGCTCTGCTTACCTGACGTGTCCCTCACCTGTAACGTCCCTGCTGGAGGACTGACCCGAGACCACCCGACAGACGTGGAGGAGACAGCTCATACACATCCACAGAGACACAGACAGCTGAGTGAAGGACAGTCACGCGCTGAGAAGTGGACACACCATGGAGGTCTGCGCTACTTCCAGGAAACTTCCTCTGCTCTCCTTCACCTTCCTGTGCGGGCTCTCAGGTGAGTGAGCGGCTGGTTTTCACTCATTCATTCAAAGTGGGGGTTTCGTGTGTTTGCCCTGACACCACGCTCGTGACGTAGCCTGCCTCTGAAGTTCAGCTGTTTCCAAAGTCATGCTACTAGAATGTAAATAACATGAGGCAAATGATTCAAGGTGACATTCATTCAACACTAAGATCACGTTTTCAACCAGTTCATGAACAGATCAAGGCAATCATTTAATCTCCCGTGAGTCTCATTTCAGAGCAGGATCTTAAAAATAGCTCTTCTCTTCAGTATGTGACACGTATACAATATTAGTCATAATCATAAGCTAATAATTAATGAGGAAACGACAGATCAGGTCTGTTTCTGGCGTCCCTCTCTCCCTCTGTCTCGTTGTGTGCCAGAGGATGAAGGGGTGGATTTAAAGCTAAAACACCTGTTTGTTTTTCACAGGATTTGAAACAAGTGTTACACATGATTATGTCTTCCAGGGACAAATAATCCCTTTATATCTGCCGCAACACTGGCTGAGCCATCACTCTCTCTAGCAATGTATTAAACTCCTACTTTCACTGATAGCTGTACAGTACACGCAGCCTACTTTTCCCCCCGCCGTCTCTTTTGATTCTGAAATTGGGGCACGGTTCAGCCGCACAAGTGCTCCTGCAAATGTTTTAAGAAATGACAAGTTCTAAATGATTCATTCAGGTAAAACTTTTAACAAGAGCCGTGCAGACGCAGAGCATCGTTTTACACGTACACAGGAGAATATTGGTACAGTTTTCAGAAAGATAGAGTCAGATAGCTGTTTTCTTCCCAAGAGGCAGAAAACTAAAGCAACACTTCAGTCCGGAGGGGGTGCAAAAGCATGTTTCTGATCGCACTGGAAAAGTGTCCTTCAACAGCAACACATGGTTACTGTGTGTTTATAGTTATCTGTGGGTGAATTAATGCTCCTCTTGTCCCAACTCAGCTCTCACCAGAAACTAGACTCTTGTGAACAGAAGTAACAATAAAATGTTACTTTAAATGGCCTTTGACTTCTCTCACAATCCATCTGGCTCTCCTAAAAACAGGAGATATCCATTTAAGCTACTCCGTCTTCTACAGGTGAGTGTGTATTCTTGTATTTGGCCTGTGAGACATGACAGCAAGCAGGAGCTTCACATTTGACCTAAATTCACCCTGGGTTGCCCGAAGCCTGTGTGCGCTCTTCACCGCTGTTGCCAAAACAATCACCTACGCTGACACAGGCAATCTCAGACTCACTTGTTACGCCCTGAGGGAATGCTCCTATTTTACCACCCAGACCCCTGTGAGGACATGAGTTAAACACCTTAAAGGCATTTCAAGCAGTGATTGGTAATAAAGTCCCCCTGTGACTCATCTTGAGTTTTAACAACAGGCTGTGATTCACTGCACAACTGGAGAATACAAGCACAGTAGCTGACCTTGGCCTAGGCCTTCTCACTATCAGTCACCCTGCAGGTGTGTCCTGAGTGGTCGAGACGCGGAGGAAATGTTCATGAATGGCGGCCTGTGGCGACAGGAAAGCCGCGCACTCCTTCAGTCCCTGATGTAGACTGTGTCGGAGCAGGAAGTGAGCAAATGTCATCCCAAGAACACGACAAAGGCCTCATTTGAAATTTAGTGTCAAAAATCCGGGCAGTGCAGAAAGCTGTCACACTGCTGTCGTCAGAACAGATCTATGAGTGATTGCGATCTGCACATGAAGGTGAAAATGATGAACCGCAATGTTTACTGTTTGGCTCATTCATCTGCCGTATCCGAGGAGAGTTTTGGCAACATAGTCATCATCACATATCTGCACCTTGAGAGCAACAACAATTAGTTAATTAACAAAACTTTTACTGGCAACCATTTTAATATTTTAGATAAGTTTTTAAGTAAAATGCCAAACATATGATCATTAAATTCTAAACTTTTACTAATTGCTGCTATCCTTATCTTACATGAAAACTGAGGATGGACAGTTTGTTGGACGAAATGGGAAAACAATTATGTAGATTGGGTAATTAGTTAATCTAAGAAATAAACAAGCAGCAGGTTAAACATAATAGATTAAACATATAGAACAAAATATTTTAATAATTTGGCCAATCAGTGAACTTTAATGTCAACCTTTGTTTGATTTATTGTTACTTGCCTGAATTGAAAAACTAAATGTCTTTGTGTACTTCACAATCGCATGAACTCATTACGATTGTCTCAGGAATGTTGTGTTCGGACCAGCTAATTAGATTACATTAGCCTGAGTTCAATAGGCAGTACCTAATTATCCACTGTGTTCTAATTAGTTAAATTAATTTGTCCTGCATAATTTTGTTTTTTACGGAGCCCGTCTGGTGACATGGGTGGAAAAAAAAAATTCCGTGGCCACGAATTAATAACGTGCGGGAACGAGATCCTATCCTGTGGCCACGAGTTGAATTCATTTTTTAAAGAGGAGTTAACACAAAAATCTAATTCAGGGTGAATGACCATTATTTTACTTTTGTCAGAGATCTGTGTGTAAGACGTTGTCTTCTATATTTTAGTTTTCTTTCAGGGACATGTCAGATACAGGCGCTCTGGTTGCTGTTATCTGGACACCGTGATCAGAACATAAAAAATAGGTTCTGTAGACTCAAACAATAAATCATTAGGAAGCGGGTAAGTTCGCAAGGAAAGCTGTAAATGTTTGTGAGATTGCATCGACACTTGTTCCCCTCCTGTTGAAATGTGGACGATCCACACCTGGACTTTTTTTTAGATGATTTAAAAGGTGTTTTTTATTCCTGGTATTAACACTGTGTTTTACTGTGTGTGTGGTTGTGTGTTTTTTCCTGTACATATATCTTTGTGAGGACCATTTTAAGCATAGACCCTATACAGAGTGAGGATATTTAACCCTTAGTCTGTTTATTTATAAAGTCATACTGTGAATATTTTCTTCCTTAGGGGGACAAAAGGCCAGTCCTCAATATGAATCAGTTTAAGTTAAGGTTAGTCTAAGGCAGGGTCACCAACCTTTTAGAAACTGAGAGCTACTTCATGGGTACTGAGTCATTGATACACTCTTCTGAAATAACACATTTGCTCAGTTATATATTATTATTAATGATAAATGATATTCATCTATGTGAAGACACCGATCACCTTAATGATTTCTCACAATAATTATCAATAATGACTTAACAAGGTGGGAAACAGATAATATCAATATTCAACACTTTATTTCTATTAATCTCAGCAATTGTTAACATTTTCAGACGATCACTTCTACAACATTTCATAAGAAAAATGTCCCATTTTCACGAGCCACTGACAAACCCTTTCAACAAATCACAGTCAATAGTCAACTTCAATATGAGGATAAAAATTTGACAGTATAAAAAAATAAATAATTAAATGTAATTAGAAACCCATATCAAATTTTGGACGGAGCTCACTGGTGAGTTGTGTTGTTTTTAGAACAGGCCTGCGGGCGACTCATGTGGTCCTTGGGGGCTACCTGGTGCCTGCGGGCACCGTGTTGGTGACCCCTGGTCTAAGGTATGCCCACAGGAAATTAATGTCAGCTGGTGTGTGTGTGTGTGTGTGTGTGTGGTTTGTGAAAGCATTTGCATGAGCACATGTGGTAATCTTGAAGCCCTTATCAAAGGACAGTGGTTCATGGCAACAACACATAAGCCATGCTTTATTTAGTTCGTAACCAACAGTTGCACAATAACTGTCCCGTTCTGGACACAACATCTGGCAAAAGAACATCTTCATTTGTTTTCCAGGTGGGTCCCACAGTGGACTTTACTTATTTAACAAGGTCAATCCATACAAGCTTCAAAGGATCCATTGGGATGGTGGGGGTAGTGGCAAGCTGCTGCCATGGCTGATTTTCAATGTCAACTGTGATTTAGAGTAGTAAGTGAGAATGTTACAAGAATAGGTTTTAACTATATGTATTATTTTTAACACATGGCCACTTAACCCTCCAGCCATTACAGCACACAATGTCTTAAAGCCTGGAATACACATTTGCTCTTTGTATGACAATATAGTTGTTTTGTCCTCCGGGTACTGTGCGGAGTACAACAGCCACAGAGTTCACCCGCGGTTTGCCGTTTATATCTCTACACACACAAAGTGAGAGGTTCTGCACTACTCAGGACAGAGGTAGAGCAGCAGACAGAGGTGGGAAGTGACATGTTAATTCCGCTGCGAAGATCACATGTTTTTGTTTACATGTTTACATCACCCTGACACCATCTTCAGTCCTTATCACCGCAAACTCTCTTGACACCGCTTTTTCACCGGAAGATATTTGTTTTCTTTTTGTCTTTTTCATTTTTTTGCCTGTCACGTGTTAGAAGCCCCAGTCGCTCGCAGAGAATCCAGTGGGGGATCCCCTGCTGTGTTCACACATCAACTTCTCCTGGACTAGGGAGCCAGGCAGATAAAGACTGTAGAAGCTGCGGAGCGTCTGACATTTGCATTCACACATGCACCTCTTCTGGAAAAAATACATAGGGAGGAACTGGGGAGTCCAGTGCATGTCTGAAAGTGGCTTATGTCAACATGGGTTTTGTGTCCTGGTCCACCCCCTATTGTCACCCTGACAACCCTTCATCCCAAAATATACTACATGTCCCCTAAGAGTCATGAAATGCAGTTCATCCAATGTACAACTATGGCCTTATCTCTAATTGCCTATTTCTTAGAATAATACTAAATGGATGTGCAGCAAAGCCCCTTTCCTCTTTGAGCCGGGATTACAGCAGTTTGAAGCCCACAGTCCTCATGTACGTGTCCCCAGCAACTGGTGCAATTTTGATTTGACGGAGGAGATTGAGGGATTTATTGGTACATACGTAATGACACAGAAACACAACAGGGCACTTTTTCTCTACCCAGTGAGGCAGTTTGCCGTCCAATCGCCAGTCTGCGCTGTGCAAGTGTGCCAGTGCCTCTTGTAATCCTATGTATTTACACCCACTGGGGCTCTGTACAAGGCCCAG